ATACCACAGTTATTTTAAAAATTTGAAACAAAACCCGATTTCCGAGGACTTAATCACTCCTATTGATGACGAAAATTAAATTGAACCGATGTATTTTCATATAAATTACTTATACTTATGTTTCAAAATGTACTAATTATTTTTGTATTTTATGAANAATTGAACCGATGTATTTTCATATAAATTACTTATACTTATGTTTCAAAATGTACTAATTATTTTTGTATTTTATGAATATTAAAATAAAAAATACTTAAATCAGACCGTTATATTAAATATGTTCATGGTATAAATTATTATTATATATGTAATTTATTCAACAATTTTAGTAAATCACTGTCCTTTCAAAACATCACTTCACTAAAATACGTCAGACAAAATTAATATATGTCAGTCATTTTTCTAAACTATTTATTTTGAAAGTGGCTTAAGTCACTTTACCGTAATGAAAAGTGGTGATTTTTTAATATTTATACGAAATTATTTATACCGAGAAAAATATCAGTATCCTCAGATAACAAATACAAGTAAATCTTCTCGAAAGTTAGCATCCACATTTTTAAACGTGTTAAAACGCAAACCCTGAAATATCTCGACTTCAAAACAAAATGACTTATGCCACTTTCAAAATAAACGGCTCATATATATATAGTTTCATCAGACTCTGATGAAACAACCGAGTCCGCAGCTAGTTACATATACAGTAATGTCTCCCTAACTGACGCTCAGATTGTGCATAAAAATGGACAATTTGGGTAGAAGAGATACGATTATTCGCGCCTTGCAATTCGTTTTTATAGTTACCAATTGTTAACAATTATGAAAACGAGTTGCAAGACTTGAATAATCGTATCTCCTCTTCCCAAACGGTCCATTTTTGTGGACAATCTGAGCGTCAATTAGAGACATTACTGTATCGAAAATAGCGACGGGATTAGGATCATCGCATTTGGTTGTTGCGTGCAGAACACGATCGTGTAACACGCGCAGGATCGTGCATTCAATTTTCAACTCCATCGGTTAAGAATGCGATCTAGAACGTCAACGGAAGCGAAACTCCATCGAAAGAGAATGTCGCAATTTGCTACTGTCTAGTCATTCTCAACGCGAAGATTCATTGAGGCTCAGCCACGAGAACGTAAAAGTTCCGAGCAAACAGTGCGACATTTTAATTAGCGATTTATTTAGGCAGTAAATGAAATCAACCAAAACAGGTTCGAAAGTGTTTGTTCGAGCAACTGATTGCGCGATGCAAACAAGAACCGACTCCGCGAATACTTTGTAATTAACGCGATCGATGATGCGCCATCGCGGCTTAAAAAATTCAACGAAAAAACCAAAAAAAACGGATAAGCCTGATCAACAAAGACGTGTATTTTTGTATTTAACCCCGTGAAGTCGAGTGAAAGAGGGATAAACGCGTGCGAAATGACTTTTCGAAATACATGTTCTCGAAATTACCAACGTAAACCGGAGCAGAATCGAAACAAATCTACTGATAACGTGTTAATGATGAACGCGTCGCAAGCGTTCGCGGTATTAATTAGCCGCGACTCCGCATTGACACAGGTGTAGAAAATTACGCGCATATTTGAATAACTGAAACCTCCCGACGTAGCAGCCGAATCAGTTTTTTTTTCTCGAGATTTCGTTTCACATATAAATGTGAATGCAGTTTTATCAGCACCTGTGTCTTTTCCCGGCGAGCTACGAGTACGGGGCCAAAGATGACGAGAATCGCGCTCGTCCTTTGTCTCTTCGTTGCCGCAACCAGTGTAAGTGGGACAATGGTTCTATCGTTCCGATTAGTGCCCGCGGTCATCCATCCACCGGACGATCCAGGGATTCGATCGAACCTTTCAAAATCGGTGGAATACCGGATAATATCGATCATCGGAGGGACAGTGACGGTTATTCGATTACAACCCGCGCCGGACGAATTTCGAGTGAACAACCGATTGTCGATACTTTGATTTCGTTTTGCGATAAACCGCTTCGTCAAAATTGAGAATCGACGAGAATTTTCGCCCACGATTGCACTCGGTGATCGAATAGATTTCATACGTTGAGCACTTTGCAGACAGACCCGAAAAGAAACGTGTTCATATCGATTGAAAATCAGGGGAAAGCTTTTTGACCAAAGAGAGACGACAAGTTGTATAACGATCACACAGAGTAGTTCCATTCTTCGAATCATTTCAAATAACGCAACGCGTTGTAAAGTGTACCGTTTGTAACTGTTCGTAGTCTTTCTTATTCGACAATTCAATTCTCTGTTTTATACCGCGTAGGGCAATGTTATTCCCCTGCCGGACGCAGACTACGATGGAGGAGGAGGAGGAGGAGGAGGAGG